AATTTGTCAGTAGGTTGACTGTTAATAATAATAATAATAATAATGATAATAATAATAATAGATAAAAAATTCAAGTCGAAGGTTGCCTTTTGTATTGATTAGATTGTATTATTAACCAATGTTTGTAGAATATAGGTGCAACATTCAATCATATTTCCAAAAATTTAAATATTTCAGATTAAAAAATGGAGTCTGGTTCGCAACATACAGAAAATGATAAAAAGCAAAATTTAATCGAAGAGCTCAAGGGATCATTCAGAAGTTTATCAACAAAAAGATCTGTCTCAAAGGGACTTTAAGCGTAATTTGAAGCAACCCTCCTTAAAAGAAATGGCATTCCCGATTCACAACGTTTCCCTTAAAACCTTTGTCCGATCAATCAATAATGTGGAAAGAATCCACAATTGAAAACAATTATTTCTATTAATTATGAACATTGATTTGTTGTGAAGTGGGCATTGTCATTTCTTCATGAAGGGTCACTTAAAAATACGCTTACGATCTCTTCAAAGTTGAAAAATATTCTGACACAATTTGTACAGGGTGTCCCGATAAACATGGGAATTCAGTGACTAATTCGATGTTGTCTTTTAAATAATTCTTTAATTTAGTAAAGTGATTTTTGAGAAAGCTGTAATCCGTAAAATTATCGTCTGCTATGTTTACAATTTGTTTGCTTATGTGTTGACTACATACGGTTGAACTTAGTTAAACAAAAAAATTACAGTAAATAAACAGATTAAACTTGTCCGTCTTTACTGTTCATCTTGCGGAGACATTAAAGACACATCTTTACAGCCATTTACCGTTTTAATGAAATAAACTCTGGCAGACAAAATAATAATATGGCTTTTGAAATTAGGTATTAAAATGCTAATTCATATCAAAGACGATATCGAATTCGTCACTGAATTCCCAAGTTTATTGGGACACCAGCTGTAGGTTTATTGGGACACCAGCTGTAGGTTTATTGGGACACCAGCTGTAGGTTTATTGGGACACCAGCTGTAGGTTTATTGGGACACCAGCTGTAGGTTTATTGGGACACCAGCTGTAGGTTTATTGGGACACCAGCTGTAGGTTTNCCCTTCTTAAACATTCTGATTTGATGTTAAGAGTATTGAAACCGGGACAAATGAGAAGAAAGTATTAAGACATGTCGTTTGTGATATTCTCATTCTGAAAAACAAGATGGAGGAAAATCTTAAGTTAATAAAAGACGAAGATTTTGCGGATTTTACTAAAGTATGATTATAATAAAGGGTTTTTTATTTCAAAAATGTTTGAAGAATTGGATAAACAATAAAAATAGACACATGTAATTAGTATTTGCCACGATCTTGAATTTTCTAATCACTATATCTTTGCAACCTGCTGGTTTAAACCTTTTATATTTCAACCATAGATAATTTGATATAGCAGAAATGATAATTTGAAATATCAAAAGTCTACGACATTGGGTTGCAAAGATATAGGGATTTTCGTGGCAAAGACTCAATTCTATTGGGCTTTCAATCCTTATAATTTGTTGTTTTTTAAACAATTACCTAACCACAATACTGGGTTTGGTTTTTAAACAATCACCTAACCACAAAACTGGGTTTGGTTTTTAAACAATTCCCTAACCACAAAATTGGGTTTGGTTTTTAAACAATTCCCTAACCACAATACTGGGTTTGGTTTTTAAACAATCACCTAACCACAATACTGGGTTTGGTTTTTAAACAATCACCTAACAACAATACTGGGTTTGGTTTTTAAACAATTATCTAACCACAATACTGGGTTTGGTTTTTAAACAATCACCTAACCACAATACTGGGTTTTTAAACAATTACCTAACCACAATACTGGGTTTTTTAAACAATCACCTAACCACAATACTGGGTTTTTAAACAATTACCTAACCACAATACTGGGTTTGGTTTTTAAACAATCACCTAACCACAATACTGGGTTTTTAAACAATTACCTAACCACAATACTGGGTTTTTAAACAATTGCCTAACCACAATACTGGGTTTAAACAATTACCTAACCACAATACTGGGTTTAAACAATTACCTAACCACAATACTGGGTTTAAACAATTACCTAACCACAATACAGAGTCTAAAACTAAAGAATGCGCGAATTTTAAGTTTGTGGTTAAAAGTTCTGTAAAATAATGAATAGCTACTTAAATATTAAACTTTCTCAATTTTAAATTTGAATTTCCCGGGAAAAATCTGAACCAATCAGAGAAAAGGATTTAAAGAATTATTACGTAAGTATCGGTATTCGGTAATCGGCTGTTTTTTAAATTTTAAGTTACGTGACAAAAAACAACATATTTCTAGTCACAACCGTATTTAGGGTTTACGTGAAAACATTAATTAATCTAAAACGTGAAATTTATTGAATCAAGGTTTTTACTTTTAAATATATCGTAATTAGTTGAATGCCTCTTACCGCTGAATGATGATAGACAAATAGGGATTGCGGGATTTCAAGATTTTAACCATGTGTTTAAATTTTAACTCGTCGATTTCGGCGAGTTAAATATTTAACCAAAGGTTTAAATATTTAACCTCACGGTTAAAGTTCTGGTTTAAATTAAGTCAGAAGTGGCATTTAACCATGAACTTAAAATTTAAGTCAAAACTTTTCGTTCTTTAGTTTTGGACTCTGGTTTTTAAACAGTTACCTAACCACAATACTGTTTTTTAAACAATTACCTAACCACAATACTGTTTTTTAAACAATTACCCAACCACAATACTCGATTTGGTTTTAATATTGGTATCAATTAGGATAAAATCCTTATCATAAACGATCTTTTAAATAGTTACTTTTTTATGTCCTGAAGAATTTTATTTAGTCAACGTATATTTAAATCTTTGATTAATACAATATATAATAATTTTATTCTGCAATTTAGAGATTGCTACCAAGAGCTATAGATCAGATAGAAACTATTGATAGAATATTGAATCTTGTTCTGCTCTGGTTTAAGGATGGAATAGGATTGGCATTAACTCTTCTTCCAGGTACAATTTCCTACGCCTTAGGTACTTTCCCAGGTAGCAATTTCTCTTATCGATCAAAAAATCATTGAATCCACAGATTATAATTATAATATATTTGTGGTTTGTTACACCTATCACTGAAACAGTAATTCATATTCCTGATCTAACAGATTTAATTCTTATTTTTTTCAAAAGATGTTTTAATTTAGAGGTTCCTGTATATACTATTGAAGATGACAATAAAAATAAAAACAAGCAGGCAAGGGCGAAATACATTTATTTAAAAAATTAAATCCATGTTGAAAACTTGCCTAAATTTCAGGTTGTAAATGTAGTTTACGTTATAAATCACTTAGAAAATCAAATTGACGAGTTTAAAACGCTTTTAAAATAATTTATTTCACCATAAAGAATGGCAATTATGACGATGATGATGATGACGATGATGAAGATGATGATGATCATGAGAATGCCACAAACGATGACAAAGATGATAGTTTTGAGGATGGAGAGGAGATTAAAATTGAAATTGATGTTTACGAAAATTCAGAAGAAAATTCACAAACAAAACTAGAAACTGGAATTAAGAGAGATTTTCAAGGTAAAAATTGTTCAATAAAAATAATTGTGTCATGATATAATAATAAATAAATGTAATAACAATCAAGACTGCAAAGTAGTGAAAAATGTCTTATTCAAACTTTACCTAGTTTTAGAGTCCTTTTTACAGTAACGTTACTACTAACTACAATAAAAACTGGAAACACTAGGCAGAGCAGGATGGTTTGCTTTATCTTTTCAAGGGACAGAAAAGACAAGTTATCATTGGCCGATTTTGTTTCTTAATTTGTGCTAAAACGATTTATGTAAATACATTATTTCTTGGAAACCATAACTTGTATCCTTGTATCTTGATTAAGTTATTTATTTTCAGATAGCGACGACTCAAAGTCTGTAGTTAATCTGAAACTTGAACCTGGAAACTCGAAACTTCATCTCGCCCAGTCAATTGAGAACGGAGAACTGCTGCCATGTGACGAATGTGAGTATTTAGGAACCTGTAAAATGAATCTAATGAGACATAAACAACGTTCGCATGAAAAAATGGTTTGTCCCTGTGAGTTTTGTGACTATGTTGGAACCAGTACGGAGAATTTGCTACGACACCAAAAGCGTCATAATCCAGACAGGTTTTCATGCAATATATGTGATTATGTGGGGACAACTAAGCAAGATTTATTCAAACACATTCAAACCAAACATGACGGGTCACGATATTCCTGTGATGTTTGTGAGTACACAACAGACACTATAGTTTCATTAAACGCTCATAAAAAGGTTGAACATGTGAAAAGAACTTATCCCTGCAATGAGTGTGGATATGTAGCAACTCGGAAACTAAATCTAAGACTGCACCTTGAAAGAAAGCATAAAGGTGTTCGATACTATTGTGATCAATGTGATCGTTCATTCACCGGAGAGGGAAACCTGAAAAGACACGTGAAAACTATCCATGAAGGACAACGATATAACTGTGATCAGTGTGATTTTTCCGGATCCCAACAAAGTAAATTAAAAGAACACATTGACAGTGTTCACAACGGAATTGTTTATCAGTGTGATGAGTGTGATTATGTAGCCAAACTTTCTAGCACTCTCAGAACGCATAAAGCAATAAATCATAAATTCAAAGAAAAGGAAATGCACCTGTGTGACCAATGTGAACATGTCGCATCTACTAAAGGAAATTTAAATACACACAAAGAGAGGAAACATAACGATAAATCTTCAACTCATTATTGTGATAAATGTGACTTTTCTACTCACGTATTATTAGACTTGAAGAGACACAGAAAAAGGCATGATGAAAGTCAACATCTCTGTGATCAGTGCACATATGTTGGGAATACAATAGAATATTTAAAACGACACAAACAGGTCAAGCATGAAGGTATTCGATTCCCCTGTGATCTTTGTTCTTATGCAGCAACGGACAACGCACATTTAAGAATACACAAAGAAAGCGTTCATCTCGGTATTAAGTATCCCTGTGACTTATGTGATTTTGCTGCATCCTCTAAGGGAAATCTGAAACAGCACAAAGAAAGCAAACACGACGATACTAGATATCCGTGTAGTCAATGTGGACATATAGCCACAACTCAGTATGGTTTAAGGAAGCATGTTAAAAGTAAACACGAATATGCCAAACACTCTATAGTTAACTATGGTATATAAATTAATTATTTAACTGTTAAAATTGTTTTCATTACTTCACCTATTGTTAAATGATGTCAAACATCCCTTAATTTTATATATTTTTTATTTATAACTTGAAAGGAACGTAACTTTTTTATTATCTATTTTTAATACTAGTATATTAAAACTTTACCATGATTTAATCATTATGTTAAGACACTAGTTCATACGTAATGTATATTTGCCTTAGGAACAAACATGGTGAAATGATAGAATTTGTTTATAACATTTTTGTTTTGCTTTTATTTTATTAGAATAAAAAATGTATTAGTTTGATAGACGGGAGACCTGGAAGTATACAATGGAACTGCCTGATTCACTGCATATATATCTAAAAAACAGTTGCTGTCAACATAAGTATATATTATATATATGCATACAAAGTTTTAGGGCGCTTCGAACCTATCTTCTGTTTTAATTGTAAACATTTTCTTTCAGCAAACAAAAAAAGTTTGCGGATTTTCAAACTTTAATAAAAATCGAATTTAGTTGGAGGTTAATTTTTAAAATGTTAATCATCCTTAAACCATACCTGGGGTTAAGTGAGATCACACACAAAATTTGAATCTAAAATTCTAGAAGATTCAGCATTTACTGCAGCGAGGGGAGGAAGGCCAACCACACCAATCTCTAGTCCAAACCACAATCTCCTCATTTTCTCGTCCGAACCACCTCGAAATCCTCTTCCTTTCAATATTATTTTTTTAAGTGTCTAATACTTCCATATAAAACTATTTTTTAAGAATCAAGCCACGTTAGGGCATAAATGAAATATCAAATTTTTGTAAATCAAAGTAAAAAGTTTCAATTGAATTAAAGATTTCAAGTTTAATGTCCTTAAAAATGTACATCTTTTTAACGCGCATTTTCAGATATTCCTGGTGTAGAATGCTGCAAATAATTCCAAGTTTATAGAACTTTAATCTTTTTTGTTAACTATAGTGAAAACCATAGAATTTTTTCGGGTGGTTCCATGGGGAAAATTATAGGCAGAGGTATGCCGAATATATGTCTATTTATTTTATATCACAAAGGTTAGCAATTATGGAGGCAGAAGAGATTTAAGTTTTACCTAAATAATGCTTGACATCATTCTCGTGGATTTGAAGATTCCAACATCTCAAAATCCTTGGAAAACTTTTTTCTAGTCATGTTCTATGCCCTAACGTCGCCATATTTTTAAAAAATGTATTTATTTTCAAGGATCGGACACTTAAAAAAATAATATTGACGAGGATTTGGAGGTGGTTCGGACGAGAAAATGAGGAGAATGTGGTTCGGACTAGAGATTGATGTGGTTGGCCTTCCTCCCCTCCTGCGGCTCATACAATTGCTCTAGTAGATTCAGCATTTACTGCAGCTCCAACAGTTGGTTTCTAAGAGTCATCATTCACTGCAGCTCTAACAGTTTCTTCAGTAGATTCAGCATTTACTGCAGCTCTTACAGTAGCTCTAGAAGATTCAGCATTTACTGCAGCTCCTACAGTAGCTCTAGAAGATACAGAATTAACTGCAGCTCCTACAGTAGCTCTAGAAGATTCAGCATTTACTGCAGCCCCCAACAGTTGCTCTAGAAGATTCAGCATTTACAGCAGCCCCCAACAGTTGCTCTAGAAGGTTCAGCATTTACTACAGCTCTAACAGTTGGTCCAGAAGATTCAGCATTGACCAGCTCTAACCGTTGCTCTAGAAGATTCAGCATATCCAGCAGCTCTTACAGTTGCTCTTTAGATTCAGCATTTACTGCAGCTCTTATAGTTGCTTTAGAAGAATCAGCATTTACTGCAGCTCCAACAGTTGCTCTAGAAGATTCAGCATTTACTACAGCTCCAACATTTGCTCTAGAAGATTCAGCATTGACTGCAGCTCTAACAGTTGCTCGAGAAGATTCAGCATTTCCTGTAGCTCCAACAATTGCTCCGGAAAATTCAGCATTTACTGCAGCTCCTACTGTTGATCTAGAAGATTCAGCATTTCCTGTAGCTCCAACAATTGCTCCAGAAGACTAAGCATTTACAGCAGCTCCAACAGTACCAAAAGATGTTACGAACATATTTTTAAACTCCAGACGAACTGAGAACATTAACAATAAAGTGCGACTCGTCAACCACAACAACTGTTAAGGAAAGAGAGTAAAATGGTTTTACATAATATATTCCAGAAAACGGCAATAGCAAAGAAATATGTGATGTGTCCTATGATGTTTTGGATTTAGCATTGGCAAGCTTTATTGTCCAATGGGAAACAAAAACAATGAAGAGCTTGATATTACCAATGTTTCAGTTTATGCTACGTAAGATAGATAATACGTTGTTACAACGGTTTTTTCAAATCATCATAATTTCAATATTTAGTCGGATTGTTGTGACTGTTGGAGAAGTAATTTGAGAAAAGCTTCATCAAAACAAGAATTTGCTGTTGTTCAATGAGATACGTCGGACAAAACTGAAAATGAGCAGTAAGGGAATGGTCTCAGAGCTAACCAGTCCTGCTCTGCCATTCATCCATTAGAAAAAGATAATCTATTCAAATCTGGGGCAATAACCCTTGCAACAGAAGTATAAAGGAAAAAAAATACATTCTATAAAAAAATTCCAAATCATTAGAAAATAATTTTTATGGCGTATAACCTGTCCTGGAAAATGCTCACAGTACTGTAGGGGCAAGTCAAGATTGCGTTTAATTCGAGATGAGAAGAAATTCGAGTTGAGTACTATCCTCAGAAGACAAAAAGATCATGGCGGACGGTTGATCTCAACCAAAACAGATTTTATTCTACCAGTAGAAGATAAGAATAGGTGCTTTTACAGTAAGTATAAAAGTTAATGAGCCAGGAATACCTACAAGAAGACTCGCCCTTTTTTATTACTTCCAAATTAATTTAATTATATGGGGAAAAACTAAAAGAACTTGAATATAGATTCCCTAGTTGTGCCCCTAATTTTTCTAAGGGAACTTTACCCCCAATTTTCCGGGAAGGGGGACTTTCCCCCTATTTCCGCCGCCGGATATATTACTATTCAATCCAATCCATTTTTTAAAAGTTAAGATGGCGTGACATAATGCAAATTATTAGATTGATTGCGCAAGAAGGAGGAGGAGGAGGAGGAGGAGGGAGGGGAGGTGTAGGGGTAGATAAAGAGGGTAATAAAGGACAAATCATAAGAAGTTGCATGATCAATATTAAATGCTTCACTGAGTTAAGACATGTTTCTCAATCTAAATTTTACAATCTTTATTTTATTCAAATATAAAAAACCCTCCCCCTTACCAAATCCACCAGTTGTAAACTTTATTCAAAACACACATGGCAGAAGTTATCACAAAGATTAAAAGAAATTGTACAAATATATAAAATAAAAATAAGTTTTTTTGTATTTGAAGTTCTGAAACTATTGACATTAGAAAGTTTGACAAAATTCCCAATATTAAAACCCCTTTTAGCGGAACAATTTGTTACCTATCACTTGGTGTAGGGTGTAGATATTTGTTTTAAGTTTTTTAATTGTTTGAGTTTTGCACTTTTGTTTTACCAGTGTACTTAAATAAAACTAATTTATATTCGATTGCTCACATTCTCGAGCGTCCACCTATAGTGTCCCAATCATAATTCGAGGCGAATCGGTGAAGGGGTTCATCAGTTATGATCAGACATCGAAACAGACAGAGATTACTACTTTATATACATATAGACAAATATATTTCAGCTTTTAAACTTCACATTTTATTTTAAAAAAAAAATGTACTTAACATAATGTTTCACGTCTATCATAACGATCCTTAGTAGTCAAAGTTCTTTAGATAAATATATATATATATAAATATAGTCAAATCTATCTATTAGATTCAGTCTGCTTATAAAAAGTCTCATCAATTTTTTAGGCGAGTCGACTTTGAAGTGTCGCAACGCCTTGGGCTTTGATTTTAACGCTTTAACTTACTTCTGCTTTTCTGTAGCCCTTTACATGTACATTTTAGCACTGTAAAGCACTTGTTCTTAGCTTTGGTTTTTAATGTGATAATCTTAAATTATTTGTATTAATGTTTTAACCAATGAATGTTAAAAATTTAACTTAAACTCAATGAAGTACAATAATATTAATATTTCTAAGCTATGGTTTGAATTTTAACACATGAAGACTGACTGTAAGGCTCAATTCTACGAGTAAACCCACCTGGAAAAAAGGATATTTTTATCAAATACAATTTATTTTCAATTAAAAGATAATTTTCCGCATTTTTTCTTTAAATTAAGTGAATAAAAGATATAAAATAGTACTTTCTTGATTTTTACTTTGACCGTCGTTGCCCGAAGGAATTGTCCCTTAAGAAGTGAGTTTAATGTGATTTTGATACTCATAGACTTTCAGACTCAAGTTATGACTTTTAAAGTCCAATGAACATGAGACAAACCAGTTGTCAAGTTTAAACAGTAAACGTAATGCTTTGTAACAAAATCGAATACTTTTGAGGATTTCTAAAATGTCGTCTTCCTATTCCAGAGTTTTCTGGTTCTCGCTGTATCATTAGAACTTAAAAGGGTCAATTCCAACCGAAATATATTTTCCAACAAAATATAGAAATAACATCTTCTCTTTACTGTTGTGGGAATCACAGGGAATCACAGGATCAACACATTGAAACACGCTAAAACTAAGAAATAAAAATTCTGCACTTTTACCAAGAGGTTTTCTTGTAAAAAAGTTATGTTTTTTTTTTACTTAAAGTTCTGTTTCTCAAATCTTTGTAAATTAATTTTAGTTTTTTAAGAGTAAACAGTAATTTAATTTTAGTTTTTATCGTCTTCGATATTAAAGGAATACACATTACGCATGCCCTACTCTTAATGTTTATACAGTACAGCCCTGCAAGCAATTGTAAACCTTACATTTATACCTGACAAAATAAAAGATAGATAGATAGATAGTTTATTATCAATAGCTTTCTTCTTTGCTTATCTTTGATGCTGTAGTAATATAGAATATTTCATGTATCATGCTCCAGTGAATTCACAAATACCTATATCGTTATATAATATGTTAGTCATACAAAGTGTTTATTATATAAATTAGAATGATAATTGTAATGATTGAAAAGTGCATGATACATATCATTATAAATATATTTATGCAGCAACAGGTATGCATAATTATTTTTATTATATTTTCGAATTTTTTCTAAACACGAATTATCGTAATTTGTTGAGATTATTTAAGCGTGCATTATTATAATTTCCTGTTTATGCATAACCCTTTAACCCTCCCCTTATCTTTCTGCGTAACCCAAGATTATGGTTGTGTCCGCTGCAGGAGATTTACAGATGACGCAACTCTGAGATACGCAAACCAACTCTCAAACCAGATTTACGCATCGGGTCTCGCATTTTTTAATCCAGTTTTAACCACACAAATCCACCAAGATGTAGAAAAGAGTTGTAAGATCAGGAATCCCTGGAATTGAATGTTAAAACTTTTTCCCTTTTTTTCAGCAAAAATGATTGTTGCTATATATATATCTTTTTATTTCAATTGAAAATTGATAATTTTCCATTGCTGTTCCTTATTAAAGTGATTTGCGGCTTTATGCAGCAGAAACAATGAAGGAACTTGAGAGAATTTATAACTTTGCAAGACGGAAGATTTACTCGATCCTCATAGGTAATCCGAGTAAAGGCACTGTTGTAAATCGGACGTGTGAAGAAAGAATATTATTAATAGTGTCTAACTTAAAGAGATTTTGCAGAACCTCTTTGCGTATTTTTGTTTTGATTGTTTTACGCAAAAATGTTGGGCTTTAATATATATATCCTGTATCGCTGTGTAAGGCCCAGGCTGAATCTAGTGGCTTGAATGTGGCCTATACTCTATAGTAGTATACTACCAGCTCAGTTCAAAATCTGACAGTGCCGAGAATACTACAGGTGCATTTACCAACAGTGAATTAATTATTTACCTATATACTATATAAAATATCTTTTAGATGGATATTATATATCTATTCATGTGATGTATATACTATATATACTATATATACTATATACTATATATATATATATATATATATATCACACGGGACTTCTACCATACAAATTAAGTGAATTTTTAGTGAAAAACTAATGTATAAAATATTTGATTTTTAAGTTATGTATTCATTTTTAAAAGAAAATAGAAAGTGTTAAATTATGAAGAAAAAAAACATTTTTAAATATTTTTGATGTTCATCAAAGTCGAAAAATATAACATGTTTATACATTTTAAGAAAAAAAAGAAAAAAGAGTGAAGAATAGTTTATAAATCTAATTTTTATTAAAATATAGAAAAGAAATGCCAATTTAGTTTCGATATTTTCACTATACATTTTTGTAAATATTTTTATTTATTTCTACCCATTGTCTCTATTCGAACTTGTCAACAATAAAGATTTTATTAACAAAACAAGCCTTATTTTATTTTATATATTTTTTAGTCATAAAAACATAAAGTTTACACGTTAGTGTCAAACACCTTTTCTTTTTTTCCATTTTTTAAATCACGATTTGATGGACTAAACATGATAGGATTGTCTAAACAAACAATATAATGATATACGCGTTTTTCTGTCTGAAAATTGATGTTTGATAGTAAGACTTTATTGAAAAAACATTTAAGAGACAAAAATAAGAAAAATCTGTCCTTTTTATCTCTAGAAGACTAGAAAACCCTGCATAACTATTATTTTTGTTCTTTTAACCTCTAGAAAACCCTGCATAACTATTATTTTTGTTCTTTCTCATCTCTCAGATACAACTTACAAGACATTGGAATGTAGGTTCTCCACTTTACCCCCCCCTTAACAACAAACTGAATGATATTGTTATTTTAGATTTTAAGTGCGCCCTTTAAACACTACACAGTACACACCCTATTGTTCTTTTTTAACAAATTTTAATCACAACTTTGTTTGTACTTAATTTGCTTAATTCATTCTAATGAAATATTTAAACTGATAAAAGATCATCTTCGAAAACATTGCCGTTATCACACCATGGCCCATTTTTAAGGTAAAAAGTAACTGTTTGTTTTAAATAGCCCAGGACATTTGTACCAAAGAAAATGAAAATCACATATCCTTTAGAAAAAAACGAAGGCGCGAGACATCATTAAATGCTTTATACAAGTAATCATTCGTCTTTAAATTATAGTTAAGAATTCAAGATGTCCTCTCAATTCTAACTTTCATCTTAACCCCCCCCCCCCCATTCTTTAGATATTGATTAGAAAACTGCACCAATACAATATTGAATTTCTGTGAAAGGTTAACGTTGCACATCAGCATCTAAGGTTTCAAATTCTTCACAATCTAAAGAATTTCAAATATTTCCAATAATAAATTTATCTTTTTTATTTTCAGAGATGTCAATGCCTGAATTCAATGGTACCCTTGAAACCGTTATCTGAACAAAAATGTAAAAAGTGTTTAATTCTGATATTTTCTTCATTGCTTCTGAAAAGCAAAAAATGCAAAAAGTTACTCGCAGAGAAACTGCCAATGAAAATTAACATTTTAAAAAAGCACATGGAAATCGAATTCATACTTGACCAGACTCACTAGACAAAGCTATTAAGGCCGGTACCGTTGTAAATCGAATTCATACTTAACCAGACTCACTAGACAAAGCTATTAAGGCCGGTACCGTTGTAAATCGAATTCATACTTGACCAGACTCACTAGACAAAGCTATTAAGGCCGGTACCGTTGTAAATCGAATTCATACTTGACCAGACTCACTAGACAAAGCTATTAAGGCCGGTACCGTGGTAAATCGAATTCATACTTGACCAGACTCACTAGACAAAGCTATTAAGGCCGGTACCGTTGTAAATCGGATTCATACTTGACCAGACTCACTAGACAAAGCTATTAAGGCCGGTACCGTTGTAAATCATACTTTACCAGACTCACAAGACAAAGCTATTAAGGCCGGTACCGTTGTAAATCATACTTTACCAGACTCACTAGACAAAGCTGTTAAGGCCGGTACCGTTGTAAATCATACTTTACCAGACTCACAAGATAAAGCTATCAAGGCCGGTACCGTTGTAAATCATACTTTACCAGACTCACTAGACAAAGCTATTAAGGCCGGTACCGTTGTAAATCATACTTTACCAGACTCACTAGACAAAGCTATTAAGGTCGGTACCGTTGTAAATCGGACATTGTCAGCTTTGTATTAAGGAAAATACAGCTATCATACATATGACGCCCAGGAGGGAAAATGTAATATTTTTTTTACTTTTGTGACATTATCTCAGTGTTTATATATATTCCTTGGTCATGATGCAAAAAATTTGCAATCCAGATCTGATTTGCACCATTTTCAGCGAACAGACAAACCGGAAATTATGTCAAAAAATGTAAAAATCTATGATATACTGAGAAGATGGGAATACAAATTTAAATATGCTTAAGATTAGTTGAAGGAATGTGAAGTAATTTTGATTTAAAGTTCTAAATGTTTTTGTATTTTGTCAATCCATGCCCCCCTTCCCAACACCTCCATTGAAAATGCATCGAAATTTATTATTTAATGATTAATGATTAAAAAACAACAATTTATTAAGTTAATTGCCTATTGACATTTAAAGCTTGAAGATTTTAATTTTCTATTTTTAAATGACAAGTTTTATTTCGTAAGAATAAGTGACAGAACACTTAATTTCAAGTGATACTACATTATACATTGGCATGCTGTATTATACATTGGCATGCCCGATTCAAAACAGTAACCTTAAAAGCTTTGACTGAACAACAATGAATAAGTTTTTCTATACAAGTGAATCGCGGATTTCTTGTTACAGAAACAATCGAGGAAATTTTGAGCACTGAACAATTTACTGAACCAAGATATATTGTATGTATGGTATTTTGCACATTTTTTTATCAGATAAAGACTGTCAGGGAACCGTTGTGAATCGGTCATGGCCCGCTTTAAATAGAGTGTTGAAATGTTTACGACAATCCCCTTTTATGTCTCTTTGTTTCTGTACTTTACTGCATATTTGTTAAGGGCGTATATATGGTATAGAGGTATTATATCGCTTCCTGCCAGAGTGTTTTCACCCCCCTCCCCTCCCTTTCCACCTCCCCATCCCTTCCATATTGTTCTGTCACTCAGTTACCCTTCCTTTTAGCCTTCCCACCCTATTAAATTGTATTCTGTGGCTTTCAATAAAATGAAACTAAAAACTACAGGGTGTCCCACGAAACATGACATTTGGTGAATAGTTTTGAGTGTCTTCTTCCAAAGTTAAAGACTTTTTGCAGTTAATTTCTTTAAAAAATGTATAACTTGTATATATTTTACTGTGAAATCAATTTTACTATAATATAACTGTCATATAATACATGTTATTTGTCTCTTCAGTATCGAACAGCTTATCAAATTATGGAAGAAGACATTTTAAACTTTTCACCAACTGTCATGTTTCGTGGGACACCCTGTATCTTACAAAACATTGAAATCTATATTTCCTGTTTCTATCTTTACATTGCATTGTACTCTCGATTATAAGCAGTACTACTAAACAGTACAATTTATGTACATCTGTTCACTTCACTTCTAGGTTTACTAATAAATATCCCAAACCTGAGCTTTTTTCATATAATGAAGTGTGCTATTCATGTACACCTTTACTTCTAGTTTCAATTGATATCTCAAAACTGTACAATTTATGAAATTTGTACACTGTACTTCTAGTTTCAGAACAGTATGCTGTAGTGCAGTGTTCAGTCAACCAAGGTTATCATGAACAATTACGAAATATCAGGGAACATTCATTAATCAATCTATCAATCAATCAATCAGTCAATCAATCAATTAAAATTTAAAATTTCCGTCAATCATTATTAAAGTGGTTCAATTTTTTAATAAAAAATAAATAGGTCATTTAAAATATGATTTCTTTTCCAATTTGTTATTGTCTAATAACCAAAGAGAATAGGATATATATTAGAGTGGAATTTTCTAGAAAAGTGTGCCATTTTGTTGTACTGTTTCCATACTAAAATACTAAAATTAAAATTAAAATTAAAATTAAACCAAATTATGACATAGGCTGGTTTCATAATTGACCAATGATCATTTTACATAGACTCTATGCCTTTAACTTTACAAACGATGATTTTTCATTATAACTATAAATTAAATGATGTTTTTTATTCATCTAATTCATTATAAAGTTTATTTTTACAGCTTTAAAAAATTCGAAATTGAAATGGATAGTCTAGGGAACATACTGTATTAATGTAGTATACTGCAAATAATTTGTGAACATTTACATGATTTGTTCACTTTGAACTCCTTTCAGGCTGAAAGGGACTGACAAAATTTATACCGAGGGATTTCTAAATTCCACTCTAATATATATTCTATTCTCTTTGCTAATAACTCCCTAAAAGTTGTACTGTAGGTTGTAATGCTATTCTGAAATAAAATCCAATAATTTATTAAGTTTCATGATTAACATGTTTTATTTGTTCATGCACCAAAGTCAGTGTTAATCGGAATTTCATGCTTGAAAAGGATATTATGAATTTTTTGAAAAATTAAAGAATGTTAAATAAATGTTGAATGATAAACGTATACGTTAGTTTTAATAAGTAAGAATTACTAGCGTAAGAAAAGGATAAATAAATAAATAAAAGTATAAATAAATGAATAAAAGGATAAATTAATGAATAAAAGTTTGAATAAATGAATAAATGATAAATAAATGAATAAAAGTATAAATAAATGAATAAAAGGATAAATAAAGGAATAAAAGGATGAATAAATGAATTAAAGGATAAATAAATAAATAAAAGGATAAATAAATGAATAAAAGGATAAATAGATGAATAAAAGTATAAATAAATGAAAAAAGGATAAATAAATGAATAAAAGGATAAATAAATGAATAAAAGGATAAATTAATGAATAAAAGGATTAATAAATAAATAAAAAGATAAATAAATGAATGAAAGATGAAAGAGTAAATAAATGAATGTGTAAATTAATAAATTAAAAAATGAATAAATGAATTACTAGTTTCCCGTGGAACGAAGGGATTTGGCCTATCTCTAATATATCGTGGCCTAGACAAATTCCCGGTAAAAATATTTTTGATCTCATTTTCTCTTGTAAAATATCTTTAAATATTATTTTACAAAGTATGTTATGAAAAAACTTAGCTTTTCTTAAAATATTATTTTTTTTAAAATTTAGTTTTGAAAAATATTTTTAAACGCATTTAGTTTTTTTTAAGTTTCTTTAAAATAATTTTGATTAACAAAATTGAATTTAATCATGTCTTTATAAAACTATCGACGAAAAAAAGTGAAAAAATCAAATTATAATTTTATAAATTTAGGCCCCCGAGACAGGAATATTCGTTGCTAGGGTAGTTCCAGGGGGCAGTTCGCATAGGTATTTTTTAGTAAGAAAATCATTAATTATTTAAAAAACATTTTTCAAAATAAAATTTTCTCATGGTAATATGCTATAACAGCGACATGCAAATTGTTGCTTTTTAACATGTTTACATTGTACAATTTAACTAAAGTTCTGATCGGAGCTGTACATGATGTACGTGGGCACATTTTAGCTAAAAAATGTCATTTAAATAAATATTTAACAATAAATATTTGAACGAACCAAAAAAACGTTTTTTTTTTCCCCATATATTTTCTAATAGGTTCAAAATTTGGCAAGAACGCCAACGTTTAAAATAAACAAGTTTGAATGTTGTTAAAATTTTAGAGTTTTTTATGTAACCTTTGAAAGTCCAACAACCTTTAATCTTTTAAATGAACAAAAAACGTTTTCTTGCATGTTTTCTCTCAGGTTCAAATTTTGCTAAGGACATTTTATCAATAAAAAAGTTTGAAATATGGTTGAGTTTTTGTGGAACCTTTGAAAGTCTAAAAACAAAGAGAATAGAATATATTAGAGGGGAATTTAAAGAATCTCTCGGTATGAATTTTGTCAGTCCCTTTCAGCCTGAAAGGGAGTTCAAAGTGTACAAATCATGTAAATGTTCACAAATTATATGCAGTATAGAGTACATTAATACAGTATGTTCTCTAGACTATTCATTTCAATTTCGAATTTTTTAAACTGTTAAATAAACTTTATAATGAATTAGGTGAATAAAAAACATCAATTGATTTATAGTTATAACGGAAAATCATTGTTTGTAAAGTGAAATGCATATAGTCTATGTGAAATGATCATTGGTCAATTATGAAACCAGCCTATTTCATAATTTGGTTCATATTAATTTGAGATTTTCAATAAAATGATATTCCAGGGCCCAAAAGGTTATATAGCATAAATATGTAAAGTACACATGCAGTATGGAAACAGTACAACAAAATGGCCGTTTTACACTTTTTTCTAGTAAATTCCCCTCTAATATATAATCTATTCTCTTTGTCTAAAAACCTCAAGTGTTTTTAAAACACCCATTTTTTATTATCAGTAAATGCGGACTGCATTTACTGATAATAAATAGCATATAGATTAATACAGCTACATATATAACTAAAGTATGCTGCTATTGTGCTAATTATTTGAGATAATCTTGCAATATATAGTACTGTACATATACATATTACATATACATACACGTACAAACAATTCATGTAAATACAAACTTACGCATATTCTAGGTTTAAATGAAGCATGTATGAACTAGGAATTATCGATGAGTTGTTGAATTTAGAATAATTCCTTTAGGAAATTCGGCATGATCATGCATAATGGGGTGGGGGGGGGTAGAAGGCCTATGGCCCATTTTTAAGGTAAAAAGTAACTGTTTGTTTTAAATAGCCCAGGACATTTGTACCAAAGAAAATGAAAATCACATATCCTTTAGAAAAATATACACAGGCTTATTCACAAAATATTTCATATAAATTTCTGTTAACAAGAATCATAGAAAATACAGAGCGTCCCATATTATATTGAATTGTCCCCAAGTTTTAACGCCAAAATACGCACAAATATATATAATTCTCGAAAAACCTATTTTTTTCTGCATGCAAATTGTTATATTAGCCCTATAGATTTTTTAATGATTCATTGTTTTTTAATTATCTGATTGATGGCGGAAATCGAAATTTAGAGCTTTATAAACGATCTAATATGTTATGGGACACCCTGTATACAGTTGTCTCTTTTTGGGGGGTTATTGAAGTATAGATTAAGATTAAATTGGAGACCCTCATATTTTCGTTGGAGACCCCCAGATTCTAGTGGGCGATCCCCAAATTTTCATTGAAAACCCCCATATTTTCATTGGAGACCTTCAACTTTGCATTAGAGACCCCCAGCTTTTCATTGAAAGCACTTCTACCTTTTCGTTTTCGTCTGGGAGTCTCCAATGAAAATCCGGAGATCTCCAACGAAAATCTGGGGGTCTCAATGAAATTCTGGGGATCTTAAATGAAAATTTAGGGGTCTCCAACGAAAATATGGGGTCTCCAATGAAAGGGGTCTTCAATAGTACTCCAATTATGTAGATTTTTTTCCCAGACTCGGGCGAGAATATATATATATATATTTTTAGAATGAATCCTAGAATGTTTACAATTTTTTTTCACAAAATCAAAAATCATTTCATTTTCATATGATACACTTCTATTTTAAAGCTGAAAAATTCTTCTTTTTATAATCTGTAATGGGGTTGTGAGTTCTTGAAATAGGTAGCTACATTAAAGAATGAATGAATTTATGAATGGATTATTTATCTTTAAATATAAAGTAATAATCTCTGTTTTTCGTTTATTTCTTTGTTTGTATGTTTGATCATAGCAGGAGGATGATAAGTTAATAAAAGGATGAATAATTGAGAAAATGAATGAATAAATGTGTTACAGGGCTGGATTACAGGAGGAATGGTAAATGATTAAATCAATGAATAAATGAGTAAATGAATAAATCAATGAATAAATGAGTAAATGAATGTATTAAATGGCATACAGGAGAATGATAAATGTATAAATGAATGAATAATTGAGTGAATGAATGAATAATTGAATAAATGTGTTACAGTGCTGGATTACAGGAGAATGGTAAATAAATAAATCAATGAATACATCAAAGCAAAAATGAGTAAATGAATGCATTACAGGGTGGAAAGCAGGAGAACGATAAATGAATAAATCAATGAATAAATGAGTAAATAAATGAATAAATCAAAAATTGTATCACAGGGCTGGATTGCAGGAGAACGACAAATGAATAAATCAATGAATATATGAGTAAATAAATGAATAAATGTATTACAGAGCTGGGTTGCAGGAGAACGATAAATGAATAAATCAATGAATAAATGAGTAAATAAATGAATAAATGTATTACAGAGCTGGATTGCAGGAGAACGATAAATGAATAAATCAATGACTAAATGAGTAAATAAATGAATAAATGTATTACAGAGCTGGATTGCAGGAGAACGATAAATGAATAAATCAATGATGAGTAAATAAATGAATAAATGTATTACAGAGCTGGATTGCAGGAGAACGATAAATGAATAAATCAATGACTAAATGAGTAAATAAATGAATAAATGTATTACAGAGCTGGATTGCAGGAGAACGATAAATGAATAAATCAATGAATGAATGAGTAAATGAATGAATAAATGAATAAATGTATTACAGGGCAGGATTGCAGGAGAATGACAAGGTTCTAAGGATTAACAAGAAAGCTCCAAGGAACATTATAAATAATAATAATAATATTAATATAAAATATCTTTTTAAAAATAAATTATAAAACTAATAAATATTTTAGATTTTGAACGTCTAGGACTTGTTCAACACTTTACGTCGAGTTTGTTCATCAATAATGTTGATGCAAAATTTTATTTTAATGATAATGATAATGATAATGATAATGATATCAAAGCAAAAAGTAAAACTTGATTTTTTTACCGATAAAATTGAATTGGCTTTTATTGTTATTAAAAATTTGTAAAAAGCAGGAAAACAAATGTTTGCTTTTTTTTAAAATGTTTTTTATAATAATGCAGAGATGTGGATGAAGCAGTGAATATCATTAAGAAAGCTGGGAAGACGCTTCTTATAACTGTTGGAAGGAAGCAGCCAGATATTATTCAAGGTAAACAGCTTCATTGATTATTTGCAAGCAGCTTGATGTGACCATTTGAAGGAATCAGCCAGATATTATTCAAGGTAAACAGCTTCATTAATTATTGGCAAGCAGCTTGTTTTAACCATTGGAAGGAAGCAGCCAGATATTATTCAAGGTAAGCAGCTCCATTAATTATTGGGAAGCAGCTTGTTGTAACCATTGGAAGGAAGCAGCTAGATATCATTCAAGGTAAGCAGCTCCATTGATTATTGGGAAGCAGCTTGTTGTAACCGTTGGAAGGAAGTAGCCAGATATCATTCAAGGTAAGCAGCTCCATTGATTATTGGTTAGCAACTTGTTGTAAGCTTTGGAAGGAAGCAGCTAGATGTCATTCAAGGTAAGCAGCTCCACTGATTATTGGGAAGCAGCTTGTTGTAAGCTTTGGAAGGAAACAGCCAGATCTCACAAAAGGAAGACAGCTATTAAAACCCTTCTGGTAAGCAACTTGTTCTAAACATTTTGAATGATGGAGTCAGATATCACTCAAGCAAGGAAGGCAGCTCCACTAATCCTTGCAAGGTTTGAAATATGATGTAAGCGTTTTTTATCGAATATGCTAAATGTTGATTAATAATGAACAACAGAGAGGAATTTTCTACATCATGTTCGCCCACGAAAAATAAAATAATATTTTGATCAGAAAATTTTATATTAAAATATACTCTCTAAAGTTATTTGTATTGACCTACCATTTTCAGAGTGACATGCTCGATTTACAACATTTCCATTTTCAGAGTGACATGCTCGATTTACAACACTACCATTTTCAGAGTGACATGCTCGATTTACAACACTACCATTTTCAGAGTGACATGCTCGATTTACAACACTTCCATTATCAGAGTGACATGCTCGATTTACAACACTACCATTTTAAGAGTGGCATTCTCGATTTACAACACTACCATTTTCAGAGTGGCAAGCTCGATTTACAACATTACCATTTTAAGAGTGGCATGCTCGATTTACAACACTTCCATTTTCAGAGTGGCATGCTCGATTTACAACAATACCATTTTCAGAGTGGCATTCTCGATTTACAACACTACCATTTTCAGAGTGGCATGCTCGATTTACAACATTACCATTTTAAGAGTGGCATGCTCGATTTACAACACATCCATTTTCAGAGTGGCATGCTCGATTTACAACACTACCATTTTAAGAGTGGCATGCTCGATTTACAACACTTCCATTTTCAGAGTGGCATGCTCGATTTACAACACTACCATTTTCAGAGTGACATGCTCGATTTACAACACTGCCATTTTCAGAGTGGCATGCTCGATTTACAACACTACCATTTTCAATGTGACATGCTCGATTTTCAACACTACCATTTTCAGAATGGCATGCTCGATTTATAACACTACCATTATCAGAGTGGCATGCTCGATTTATAACACTACCATTTTCAGTGTGACATGCTCGATTTACAACACTACCATTTTCAGAAGGGCATGCTCAATTTACAACACTACCATTTTCAGAGTGGCATGCTCAATTTACAACACTTCCATTTTCAGAGTGGCATGCTCGATTTACAACACTACCATTTTAAGAGTGGCATGCTCGATTTACAACACTCAGAGTGGCATGCTCGATTTACAACACTACCATTTTCAGAGTGGCATGCTCGATTTACAACACTACCATTTTCAGAGTGGCATGCTCGATTTACAACACTAGCATTTTCAGAGTGGCATGCTCAATTTACAACAATACCATTTTCAGAGTGGCATGCTCAATTTACAACACTACCATTTTCAGAGTGGCATGCTCGATTTACAACACTAACATTTTCAGAGTGGCATGCTCGATTTACAACACTAGCATTTTCAGAGTGGCATGCTCAATTTACAACAATACCATTTTCAGAGTGGCATGCTCAATTTACAACACTACCATTTTCAGAGTGGCATGCTCGATTTACAACACTAACATTTTCAGAGTGACATGCTCGATTTACAACACTACCATTTTCAGAGTGGCATGCTTGATTTATAACACTACCATTTTCAGAGTGGCATGCTCGATTTACAACACTTCCATTTTCAGAGTGGCATGCTCGATTTACAACACTACTATTTTCAGAGGGGCATGCTCGATTTACAACATTACCATTTTCAGAGTGGCATGCTCGATTTACAACAATAGCATTTTCAGAGGGGCATGCTCGATTTACAACACTACCATTTTAAGAGTGGCATGCTCGATTTACAACACTGCCATTTCCAGAGTGGCATGCTCGATTTACAACACTTCCATTTAGACTTATATCTGATTAACAATGATGAAGATATTAAATTGTCTTTAATTATTAGAACTTTCCTTCATTGTTTCTGCAGTTTGCTGCAACACAATTTCGCAAGTCACTATTTAAAAAAATCTATTTTTAGCTTGAAAGATATCAGTTAAAGGGTACGTATATGAATCGGACATGTCACTTTATAAATGAATAGTTACTTGAAATACCGTTTACAGTCCCTTTAATGTTCAGGAGACACCAAGCCAGCTCCTAGGCTTAGTGTTGTTCAACAACCTGCTCCTCTCTCCAGATCCGGTTCTGTCAGGGTGGTGCAATCAATCAATCAATCAATCAATCAATCAATCAATTATTCAATAACTTAATCAGACATGGTCGACTTGTGTTTGGCACAATTTTTTATCCTAGATTTTGCACTTTTTGATTTTTTCTCAATTTTTTAAAAGCTTATTTTTTAAATCCCCCAAGCTTTTCACTAAATTTTTTTCAATTGCCTTTTTCATTCTATTTTTAATGCTACGGGGGATTCATAAAACTGTGGACTAGGAAGACGACATTTCTCGTTATTAAAAAAAGGGTTCATCACTCGCTTGTAAATTACCTTGTCGAATGATATGGGTCTGTGTAACTGTACAGTATAGCCTGCTCAGTGTACAATTGCTGTGTTTCATTTTCACCCTACTATACAGGCCTGGTGTCCCACATCATATTGAATCGTTTTAACTCTAAATTAGGATTTTCGGCACTAATATTAAAATTTAAAAGAATAAAACATCATTTAAAAAAAATTTATACGGCCAATATAAATATTTTCTACAATATTTACTAGTGTTCTTGAGTATTTTGTGTGTATTTTGGCGTTAATGCTTGGAGATAATCCAACATTATATGGGACGCTCTGTATACAAAGTCGTCTTTATATTTCTTAGTTTTTTTTCAACTGCATGACATATTTTTAACTATTTTAATCATAATTTTTATTCTTTATCTATTCTTTCTTTGCAGCTGCTGGATTGAATCTTCGTTGATGCATGAACAATGAATGAATTTAGTACATTTGTTCGAATATTTTTGTGAGTCATACTTATAATCACAACAACATGATATGATTTAGCTTCTGTTAGATATGGCAGAGAAGTTTTAACCCTATTCCGGCTGGCGGGGGGGGATCCCTGGGATCCCCCCTGATGTTTTTTGGAGATAACTTGAAAAGTGTTGGTCTGAGGCTGTTCAAATTTTTTGACTTTTCTAACTATTACAAGCCCCTTACTTCAGGCTTGAAGCAGGGCTTTTATACCAATTGTCTGAATCCTCAGGCATACTGCCTGAATGCCTTATTTTACCTTTACTCGACTAAATCCATATTTAGACCCACTTCCGGTCATTGTATTTCGACTTTTTATAGCTCTTTGGAAAGCCTCGAACAAAAGGAAGCAGATTGCATTATTTTTGCAAAGAAATTTTGCATATATTCTTGCACAGATGCCTTTGAAGAGAATTTGCATATTTTCAGTTTTTCTTGAATACAAATTTAGTTTTAGTAAATTTTGCAAATATTTTTGCATATTTGACCCCGGGACCTCCCCCCCAGTCTATTTTGGGTAAACCAGGCGTCAGCCTGAAAAGGGTTAAGTAAGGAATTGAATCTTTGTCACTTACCCAGATTTTCTCCTTTCTATATCTTTGTAGCCCAATGTCGTAAACCTAAAATTTTTCAAACTGAATTCTGTTAGGAATAAGTTTAAAATATCAAAAGTTTACACCATCAGATTTCAAAGATAAAGGGACTAGAAAGATTAAGTTTGAAACAAAAGCCCCTTTCATTAGGTTGGTATTATTTTTTATATTAAATAATTATGCCCCCCACCTCCCCGGGCCCCTCCCCCCCTCCCCGGGCCCCTCCCTTCCATGGTTCCGCCTTTGCCTTGCTGCAATTTTTATTAAAGTTTTTTGATCTGTCATTATTACGATTTTCTAAACCGGTTTGGTTTCCTAATCTGATCAACCTCAACTGCTAATTAATATTCAACTCTCTCAAACTAGTTTAAAGTTTAATTGCATCTTTTATATAGTTTTATGATTAGATTTATTATTTTTCACGGATTTTCTTGACAAACAGGACTCAGCATTTACGGGTTTAAGTTGCTTGGATTAAAAATGAGATTTACCATGAAAAATGTCTCCTTTTATCTGTACATGTATCGTAAACTTTAAACGACGATTTTCTTATATACCTTCCTTCTCTTTCATATATATGGTTGCTGCTGCTACCATGGTTACACAACATTTAAAAGTATTAAAGGGACTATAAGTGAAATTTATAGTGACCCTCCATTTAAAAGACGGGTATGCCATTGCTCTATTTACAAGGGTATACTCTTGAAACCTGAATCTGATCAATAATGTTGAAGATAATGTCGTTTTTCTAGCTTGAAATTCTAATAATTTCCTCACATTACTTTTATAGAGAAACAACAAGTGAAAATACTCAGTCTTCACAATTAAAAACATGGATATATAATGCATACTTGTTCAAACAAAGTTTTCAAGGGTACCTTTGTGAATATTTGTGCCACTTTATCAATAAAGGGCCCTTTATTGATAAAGGGGCACTTGAAATTAAAATATTTAATTATGTTTAATTCACGTTTAATTTGATATCATAACCTTTTCATAAAAAGCTTCTCTCAAGCTTTATTTCTCTTTTTCTCTGTTATTTAAAGGGTGTGCTCACGAAAAATGAAAGGGGGTATAGGCTTGCGGAGAAAAAATACTAATATTACTTCTATCTGTTGCATCTATAAGGAGAAAATTGTTGAAAACAACTCAGACCGAAGAACGCAGCGTCCATACAAATTTGGAAAGATGCAACATTCAACTCGGATCATAAACAAATCAAACAAATAGTCATCGATTATTTTTCGACGCATTCGTAAATAATTGATATTTCATAATATTTTATATTTTTCATGATCTGAGAGTCACTTTTGAAAACATTTATTCCTGTTTCGAGAATTTTTGATAATGAAGACGACATTTTCATATTTTCCAGGAACGTTCGAAAATTCAGCACCATTGAAAATTTTTTTTAATCAAATATATTATGAAATATTAACTATATACGAATGCGTCGAAAAATAATCGATGACTATTTGTTTGATTTTTTTAGGATCCGAGTTGAATGTTGCATCTTTACAAATTTGTATGGACGCTGCGTTCTTCAGTGTGAGTCGATTTTAACAATTTTCTCCTTATAGACGCAACAGGTAGAAGTAAGATTAGTAGTGATCAAAAGCGCTTATTTTTCGCCGTAAACCTATACCCCCTTTCATTTTTCGTGATCACTCCCTTTAAATTTAAAATTGCAGTTTCTTTCAAGTTATAAGATATAACCATAGAGAATAGAATATATATTAGAGGGGAATTTAGTAAATCTCTCGTATGAATTTTTTCATTCCCTTTCAGCCTGAAAGAGAGTTCAAAGTGTACAATTTTCACAAATTATATGCAGTAGAGTACATTAATACAGTATGTTCCCTTGACTATTCATTTTAGTTTCGAATTTTTTAACTTTTAAATAAACTTTATAATGAATTAGGTGAATAAAAACATCATTTGATTTATAGTTATAACGGAAAATCATTGTTTGTAAAGTGGAAGGCATAGAGTCTATGTGAAATGATCATTGGTCAAATATGAAACCAGCCTATTTCATAATTTGGTTTTCTTTTAACAATAATTTTTTATTTTCTATAAAATGATATCCCAGGGCCCAAAAGGTTATATAGCATAAATATCACTCTATCCCCGTAGTAAATTTGAATTCGAACAGGACCTGCCCAGTTTGTACCGGCCTGCCAGATAACAGCGCGTACTTACCCGATCCTATGGTACAGTGCGTCGCCCTAACCAGACTAACATAAGACAGGGGTCAATTTTCTTGGCATAGTCCCATGTGAGGGCTAACTATGACAACTCCCATGGCTCGTTCAGACTTTTTACAGTACCTGGCCTAATCCTAGGCCTATTTGACCGACCCCACTGGCTTAGTCCACCGTGATATAAGCATATAAGTTTACGGTACTTTTTACAGTACCTGGTCTAATCTTGGGCCTATTTGACCGACCCCACTGGCTTAGTCCACCGTGATATGTAAAGTACCCTTCAGTATGGAAACAGTGCAACAAAATGGCCGTTTTACACTTTTTTCTAGTAAATTCCCCTCTAATATATATTCTATTCCCTATGGATATAACTCATATTTCTAGCGGAATCTTACTTGATTGATATTAAAGGTTCATGAAAAACCAATTGTCTAAATCGCTGAGAAAGTTTAATTCTAAAACATTAAACAGAGATGTTGCTTAAATTTTTCTTCAAACCGGAAATCGATAAACGTTGAATAATATTTGCCCTTTCCAAAACATTTTTCATGTCAATTTTATTTATTTAGAAATAGAAATATTGAAAATTTCTATTTAAATATAACATTTTTGAATGATTGGATCTATAGGAGTATTAACACACAGTTTGCACAGAGCCGCCCACAGACACCAGATAGGTAAATCGTTATATTTTCTATATAAATATATAAACTATAATATAATACATATACGTCAGAGACTTTAGGACTCAACACAGAGGAATGAACAAGAAAAAAAAGATTTTTTAAACATTGTAAAATGTAATTCAGTATTTTTTGCTGTTCATGTAAATTCTATAAAAAATTTAAATTTCCCTTTTTAACCACTTTTTGTTTAACCAGCTATAAACCTTCCCTGAGGCCCTGTCAATGTGAATTGAGACAGTTCCAACAAAACAAATGGGCCCGCAATCGGTTCAGGCGCTTTGTAGTTTATTTTATACAAACGAATAGACAGGACTAGATAAGCAAAATATATGAATAGATTGAGAAAGTGAAAGAGATTTTTATTTTATTTACAAACGAACTCGAAGAGTCTTAATTGTAATCCGATCAAGACCTTTTTCCATGTAGAATTAATTTTATTCAAAGCTAGTCACATTGTTCTAATTCTATAATCCACATTTCTTTTCTAACTCACGTCAGAGACTTTTTATATTTCAAAATATGAATTTAGTTAGAAAAAATAGTCTAAGTTTGAAATTTGAAAAGTTTACACCATATCAGGTTGCAATGATATTGGAGAAGAAATTTGGTGGTGTTAGGGGCGAGTGTTTAGTCACTTTGTTTATAAATGCATTTATAAAAAAATTGAAGAAATAAATTATCAGCTAATTTTTAATAATTTTTCATATTAGAAACTGTCTTTCTTAAAAATGTATTTAAAACTGTCCCCAAATTGCAATCGCAATACATCTAGTGAAATATAAAGACGACTGTAAGTAGTTTCTAAAAAATGAATGAAACTGATCTGAAATCTTGAAAATAATGAAGATATCACAGCTACGGCAGGTGCAGCAGCTGATGGACCAAATATTTGCTTCACGGATTTTCATCGAATAATAAAAAGTGCAAAAACCACAAAAAAATTTCACGGCGCGTGGCTTTAAATTGATCAGTTGTCTAAAGAATTTATTTTCTAAACATTGATTAATTAGATGTTTTGGTCAAACACAGTGTGAATTTGGTTTTTAAAACACAGGGGGGTATTTATAATATAATATTTAATAATTATTTATTTTCAGCTCTGAGGAAGAAGATGAACGAAATCAAGGAAATTTTCAACAAATCTTTTTTAAGTTTTCATAAATGATTTGACAAAGAAACAAAAATATATAGCTAAACGAAACCATCAATGTTACTCTGTAAGAAAAAAGAATGAATTCCAAAGAAAGATCAATATAAATTTTTAAAATAATAATATAACGGGGTTAAAGTTAAATTCTAAACCACGTTGGATTGAAGACCTAAAGGAAGTGTAAGACCCTCCATGCAAAGATGCCAATATCCGATTTGCAAGTGTAACCTGATAACCTTAATTTAATAAAAAATGTGGAAGATACCGTCGTTCTCCTGAACTGGTAATTTCTGTGAGTTTCTCCGTAGCTTCTTAGATAAGATAAGATAAGATAAGATAAAGTTTATTGCTAAAATACATGTATCTGTATACAGAACGAGTTTACAATTACAAATTGATGATTATATTAACAGTACAAGTATAAAGCAATTAGGTGGAAAATAGCTCTTATCTGTTTTGATTATTTTTTCCACCTAATTCTAATAATGATAACTACACATTTCAATTAAATAGATTTAAGGATAACTATTAGAGATCAGGGTGCGATTTTATCTTATGCAAAATAGTTTATACATTAATTAGAAGCTTATAAACATGAAATTCGCAGGTTACTTTCGCAGCTAAGCTTCAAAATAAAATAAATAGTTAAAGAAACAAAAAGATAAATATCTAATTAATACTTGATCATGATTTCAAGGGTACCGTTGTAAATTGGACACTGCCATCTATACATGGAGTGTCACATGAAATTACATGTACAGTTCCAGATATTAAATGGCGCATTTTAGAACAGCTGTTAATTAAATGGTGCACAGAAAACAGCTGCATAATAATGGCTTCCGTTCAAGCGTTCATGGTTGATAAAATAAATCTCGGCAAAGAACAGTGGAGCGTGCATCCGTGATACATGGAATGGCCTGATCACCTTAATTGTGCACGATAAGCAGGAGTCAAAGCAATTATGCAGTGTACGCATACCTTTTCTCTTAATAAGTGATTGTATAGCTTATTAGTTAAACTATTTGCTTTGAAAAAAACGTCAATTACATTCCTTTCATTTCGTCTTCCAATTCTACAGTTTTCTGGTTCTCACTGTATAATGAAAAAGGGTCTGAGCGTTTTTACTCGGTATATTTCGTTCTGTATTCTATGAAAAAATCATAATAATGAAATAACAACAATATCCCAAAACTAATACAATATTAACAGCGGTAACACTCCGTACGCTGTACAGTGTACAGTATACTGCAATTACAATATATGAAATGGTAAAATTTAGCTATAGCACCTTTTTTCATATTTATATGGACTCCTCAAACTATAAAGCTAATACAATTAGATATAATATAGAAAGTGTTCAATGATTGCCAAAACAAAAAGGAATTTTCTAGTTCCCTTTATTTAAAGCGTGGCATTATTAACGTTTTCTAGCGATTCATAGGTTTTAAGTTACCAGTGTAAATCATTTATGGCAGTTTTCATAAATGGAAATCTTTAATTTGAAATGACAAGCTCTGTTAGAGCTCTGTAAATCTAGTTTTTTTAGCAAAATAATGAAATATAATCATGCCTGTTCAGCTCAACAACAATATCAGCAACAGCAGTTTGAACAACAGCAGTTTGAACAACAACAATTTGAACAGCAGCAGTTTGAACAGCAACAGTATGAACAACAGCAGAGACAACTGCTTGCCGAACAGCAACTGAGGCAACAGCAAGCGGAGCAGCAAAAACGTCAGCAGCTTGTGGAGCAGCAACAACGTCAGTTGTACGAACAGGAGCTAGTGAGAGAAAGAGCAGCAATAGAAGAGGAAAACAGGAAGCTTCAATTAAAGGTAATAATACAAAAAAGATAGTTTTTTCTGAATCCTTTATCATTTAATTTTTCTGTCTAGCAACAAGCGCTTGCTAGGCAGCAGGAACAGTGGAATATAGAACAGTTATGAGTGTCCACAAAAAATTTCAGCCCAATCGGTCCAGCCGTTTGGCCGGCTATAGACAACATATATATATAGGAATAGGAATGTCTTGTTTTATTATAATACTAGCCGGAGGGTCCGGCGTTGCCCGTGGAAAAAAAGATTTGAAAAAAATAAAAAAATTTAGCCTATAACACCCCTCGGCCAACCCTGAGTGTCCACAAAAAATTTCAGCCCAATCGGTTCAGCCGTTTGGCCGGCTATACACAACATATATATATATATATGAATGTCTTGTTTTATTTTATATATATAGATGTAATTCTCTCTTTCTGGTTGACTAGTACAGTGTAATTTTTCTATTGTAATTATTCGGGCAGAAAATTACCCAATATCTGGATTCTACCAGATTTATACAGATCACAAGTGTTGTTGGACGGGGTTGTTTTTTCTTGTCTAAATTAATCTTATTTTTGTATTTCATGATTTTTAAATTTTTTAACAATTACAGCCAACATTTCGTATTTAAATCATAATTACATTTTTTTTTGCATTTTTCTATTTCGAATAATTTTCAGGAATCTGCTCGGTCCTTGAACCATCAGGATTATATTGCAAATGTTCTTGGTGGGGTCGGAGGAGGGAGCAGGTTATTTTTTTTTTCATTAAAAATTATTTATTTAATTTTTTACAAACATCCCCTTTAAAACTTCTCAATAAAATTCTGTATATTTTTGTGACATTCTATACAGAATGACATTTTAAAATCAATCCACCTGTTGTAAAACTCAGGATATGATTTTTTTATCAGTGGTAATATTATTATTATTATATATATACAATGAAGACGACTTTTTTATCTAAGTTTTTATTGTTAACAAGCTTTTTTCGATTCATATGTTTACAAGTAGTCCAAGAGAAGCTTTTTAAATTGACAGCTTCTCTTGACTTCTATATTTATATGTATCCAGTTGTTTAACAGCTTGATATATATCAAAATTTAAATCAAAAGTCGTCTTCATTGTATTGATATTATCGCCTACCACTGTAGCCCAATGAGCATAAAAACACAGAATTGTACAGTATGATTTTCAAGCTACTGCAGTTAAAATATAGCTATATTATATATAACAACATCTGATAAAAATAAGATTGCTTAATTCCTAGTCCACAAATTTATACTAGTCCCACTGCATAAATACTTCAGTTAGCTACTATTTCTTTTAAATTTGTTATTTTGTTTGAAATCGTAAATTTTATTAAAAATGTAGAATTCAAATTCCCTTTTTAATAGGGACGATGCAGTTCTACCAAGACGATCCGTTGGACGAGGTAGACAAATTGACGAATCTTCCGGAGACGAGGGGGACTTTAATCCAAATCGTCGCGCTAAATCTGTGGGTGCAAGTGGACGATTTAGGTCGAAATCTCCAGGTTCCTTCTCCGTTAAATCAGGGATCAGTCTGTTCGACTTGTCGGAGATGTCTGCGACCTCTAAGATGTCAAGGTATGTCTATGACCTCTAAGACTAATATGTCCAAATTACACAAGGAACATGATACTTGACAAACAAGAATCGTCAAATCTAAGTATTGGGACATTTTACAAAAGGATATTATTTTAATGGACATTTTATTGACAGGACGTTTTAAAAATAGGACATTTTATAGATAGGACATTTCTTATATAGGACATTTCATATATAGGGCATTTCATAAATAAGGCACTTCAAAAATAAGATATTTCATAAATAGGACATTTTATAAATAGGACATTTCATAAGTAGGACAATTTATAAATAGGACATTTCATAGATAGGGCATTTCAAAAACAGGATATTGCAAAAATAAGACATTTTATAAATAGGACATTTCATAAATAGGTCATTTCAAAAATAGGACATATCAAAGACAGGAAAAGTTCTCTAGTTCTAAGTTCTCTTGTTCTCTAGTTCTCTAGTTCTCCAGCTCTCTAGTGTTTAATAGTAATGTTTAAGTTTTATATCTTTGCAACCTTATGTGGTAGACTTTTGTTATTATAAGCTGTGAAAACCAAAGGTTTTCAAGTTGCAAAGATAAATGGATTTTAAAATTGAGTTTAAATTGAGTTTCTTCAGTTGATCTTTTTTTTTCATTATTTCCGGGTTCTCATCCAAGCATTCAAATACCTACAGTAGTTTTTACTACTATTATTATCATTAATAATAATTATGTACATAGAGTGCTATAGATAATGTAGCTCGTAACTATCGTGATCTTCAAGCTAGTTCGGACAAAGTGCTTCAAGTAAACAGGTTAATTCAATATAAATAAGCCAGTATTAGCCTGACTTCTAAGCATGCATATTGCATATTATTAAAGTTCTCAGAAAAAACACAAACTTTTTTTCCTAATATAAACTAATTTGAACGGCTCCAAAATTTTGCGAACTGTTACAGAAATAATATCGTCTTCCTCGCCCTGCGGAAAAATATAACTCTTTTCTTGATTTTGTGCTTTGAGTCTATCTGGCACAACAAATATAAACCAAAAGAATTATATTTGAGAGAAAATAGCAATACACACAATTAGGCATTTAAATATTTTCATATACTTTTTAGCTCTAAACAGTGTTCTGATATAAAATTTTTTATATTTTATTTACGTTCAGGGATTTAAAATCTCAAGTCAACAAGCGTTCAACAGATGTTAAGGTAAAAATTATTAAAATTTTATCATTTGAGAATTTATAAATGATTTCACAACAATATTATTTTAGACTCGTAACAATATTATTTTAGACTCGTAACAATATTATTTTAGACTCGTAACAATATTATTTTAGACTCGTAAC